ATGGAGTGAAAAAGCCTCCTCCATGTAGGAGCAACCACAGCAGGAGTGGAGCTGTGCTGATGACACCCGCCTGCAAATCTGGGGGCTGAACCCCACAAGCAGGAGAGCAGGGAGAGGCTTTTCCCTGCTCTCCTGCTTTATCCCTGTTGTTCCCTGGGGCTCTGCCCCATCCCAAGTGCCTGAGCCCGCCCTGGAGGAACCAGCCCTATGCTGCCTGTAGAGAAGGGTCCTGCTAGCATGGGGGACCATGTCCCCAAGTCCCCTTGGGCTTGGATGCCATCACTGCAGCCCAAAAGTGGCTCATGTGTGACCAGTATCCGTCGTGCTGCAGTGACCCAGATGAGTGCTCAGCCTCTGTTCTGCACCCAGGCAGGTCTCTGGGCAGCCCTGAAGGCAGCAGCAGCCCCCCAGTTGTCCCCCCCGTCCTCCAAGCAAGGCCCCCACCAAACCCCAAAGGCTGTGTTTGCCTTAGCCTGCCCTGCAAGCTGCTCATTTCCTTCCCTGGCCATAAATAAAACCACGCCGTAAAACGAAGGGAATGTGTAACATAAAGAAGCCTTTCTCAGTAAGATCCCTTCCTCCACCCTGTGCCGGGATGGGGGCACAGCCCAGCCCTGCCACCTCTCGGGGTGCAGCCAAAGCATGGGGGAACGCAGGTCCTGTCGGGAGCCAGGCTGGGATTTAGGGAGGCTGAAGCTTGGGGACACCCATGGTGGAGGCAGAAGGACTGGTCCTACCCATCCTGACTGTGCTGGCAGAGCTCATACAGACACTGCTGGGGACCAAGAGGGGTTCCCGCTGCCAAGCAGCATCCGCAGGGCTGGGTGGGTGCCCTCAAGCCCCCCTGGTGCTTGCACAGCAAGTGGGCGACACCACCTTATAAAGCCATGCAGCTAAGAGAAAACCAACCCCAAACAACTCGGACGGCCTCAAACCAGCTCCTGGTGCTGCTGTGGAGGAGAGGAACACACCAGGGTGGGTGCCCCAGCTGCACCCCGAGCGAGGGGGGCTCAGCAGCATCACCAACACAGGGGCTGCTTGATGGCACGGGAAGGAAGGAAGGGCAGGAAGGGGAGCAGCCGCCGGGCTGGGCTGCCCCAGCGCCCGCACAAGCCCGGGGCTGTTCGGCCAACAAGGAGCCTTCATTCCCGGGCTGTTTTTCCACCGGCGGCGCGGCCGGGGCGGGACGCGGCTGCAGACACAGGGAGGCTTTCAGGGGGGGCCTGTGTGTTCGCACGGGGCTCTCCTGGCACCCGCACGGGTGATTAAAGACCTGCCTGTAATGGATTCCAGTCCCCTCCCTGCAAACACACACCAGTGCCGGCCCCCACCTGCCCCACACCGCAGCCTCAATGGAGCCTTGTTGAGCGCCCGGCCCCTCCCCAGGCTGGGATTGCTCAGCTCCTTCCTCCTCGGCCTCAGCATCCTCCTCGGGAGTCTCTGCAGCACCTTGAGGACTCCTCTGTACCCCCCACACTGATACAGCTCCTAATGCACACCCCAAAACGCGTCCCACGGGCAGGGATGGGGATACCCCAAGGTGTGGTAGGAGCCTGTGGGTAAGGAAGGCATCCATCCATCAGCTCACATCTCCCACTGCATACCCAGGAGACATCTCCCTGCTCCTAACCCCCGCATGTCCAGCACCAGCTCTCTCTGCAAGCCCTTGTGCTGAGCTTTGTGAGAGCTCTCCCTTCCCTAGGATGAGAGTTGGCTCCTCCGTCCTCCTACGTGCGGGGGAGCAGTTTGTGTACCGAGATGTTAACAACATGGAGCAGAGCCCAGAGCAGCCCCATTGAGCCCCAGACCCCGGGATAGGCGGGGATCCCACCCCCTCCACAGTGCTGCTCATCACCGGTTCTGCACCCGGAGCCGCCAGAGCCTGCGCACTCTGGGGCTGCCCAAACCCTCCCTGAACACCAAACACCAGCAGTTGGAGAGGCCGAACCCGCCGTGCTTCCAGCTGGAGGAGCAGGGGGCAATGGCCCAGCATCCCGGTCCCGGCGCGTGGCCGGCGGCTGGCCAGGGTGCCGGGGCCTCGCACACAGCCCTTGCTTGTTCCCTGGCCCCGGGAGGCGCAGAGCACACGCAGGGCCCCGCTCCCAGCCCCTTGCTCCCTGTTTTTGGCTCTTCTCCTGGGTGTTTTCAATGCAAACCCCCCTCCAAACCCGAATGACAGCGCAGCCTATAATCTGCTGGCTCCTGGCCGGCTGCTTGGAAACTGTGACGGAGGCCCCTCTCGTCTCGTCAACGCCTTTCCATGGGCCTGGCAAGGCAGGGACAGCGATTTCCCGCAGGACACCGCGCGCTGGGAATGGCAATTATTTATAGCCAAGGCGAGCGGTGCCCACCCCAACCCATGGCCAGGACATGCAGAGCATTGCTCCCATGGCGGGGGAGCTTGAGCATCTCCATCCAGGGACGAGGCTCAGCTTGGGGCACAACATAGCTATGGAGTGATCCCCTGGGAAAGGTGCTTTTGGGTCACAGGAGTGCATCGGCATGGGGTGATGTTGGGATGCTTGGCTGCCGTCAGCACACAGATAGGGCTGCATGCCTTGGAGGGGGTTCCCTATGTTCTCTGTCCATGTTCAAATTGGAGCTGTGGGATGATGCGCCCTGTGCCAAGGAGGCTCCTTCAGGGTGGAAAAAAACCCCTCATTTAGGAAAGAAAAAAAACCCCAAAATCCATCAAGCCACATTTGCTGCATCTTTTGCAATGTGGAGGGTAAGGAAGAGGGGAGAAGGAGGTGAAAAACTGCGAGTCCCTTGTGAACGAGAAATGCCACAGGTCAAGTGGTGTTCTCATCCTCATCCTGGCCAGGCTGCTGAGCAGGGGAGGAGAGCAGCAAAGCAGGAATTTGGGAAGACAAACAGCAGTAGTTCACACCACTGCTGCTGGAGAGGAACCCCAGGCAAGGTTCCCTCCTCCCTCCCCAGCAAACAGCACCACTCCCCTGGGCATCCCCACGTTCAGCAGCTCTTTGTTGGTAGTATTTGATGGGGGAAAGAGTGGAAAAACATCTCTGGCAGCTTCTGGAGAAGGGAGGCGGGACACAATGTGCTGGCTGCGGCACTGCTGCCCCTTGTCACATTGGAACGCTCCTCCAGCCCCAAAAGTGAGCCCCAACACGAGCATCGCTGGGCTGGCAGTGACACCGGTGGTGGGTGAGAGCAGCCGCTCGGTGCCCATGCGAGCAGCACGTGGTTTGGATTAGGGGAAGCCACAAAACCAAACCCCAGTGAGAGCCAGAGCACGGAGCACGCATGGGGAACCTCGACAGGAGCCAGCACATAACGTACATGCAGCATCGCTGGGGAGCACAGTACATTGCATGCATGTGTGCATGCCTCGCCAGGGCACGAGCACGCCTGCCCGGGGCTGGGCAAGGAAAGAGGAGGGGAAGAGTCCCTGTTATGGTGTGCCCAGCTCACCAAACACTAGGACAAGGTGGTGGGGAGAGCGGCACCCATCACCCTTGGCCACCGAGCAAGGTGTGCTGGGGCTGGGTGGCTCTGCAGGGACCCCTGGGAGGAGGGAGCAGGTCAGGAGAGGACAGAGCCCTGTGAAGAACAGCAAAGCTCCTCTGAGTCACTGGGCTGAAGAAGACAAGGGAGGCAAAGTGCCCCGTGCCAGCGGCAGGAAATGAGCAGGCTTGAGCAAAGGGCTTGGTATTAAAACGAGATATTTCCATAGTTCCATGCTGCCATTTTTTCCCTGCCCACAGCGGGTGGGGTGACGGGCTCGCAACGCCCATGTTATTCTCATAAACCTCAGGAGAAAGCAGAGGTGTCTTCTCTAGAGCCAGCAGCAGCGGTGCCTCTGCTCCTGCAGGGCTCAGGAGAGCATCCCCTGCACAGGGCACGGCTCACAAAAGCACACTGAGCCAAAGGAGAGAGCTCCAACACTGCCCCTGCCAGACTGGCACCACACAAGGCTGGCTGTGGGGCCTCCAACCCAGCTTGGGTCTGCAGCAGGGTGGCTTTGATGGCAAGCAAAGTACAGCAGGAAGGCTTCGCACACATAACCTGGAGCACTGCGACTCCATAGGGTCTGAGAGCTCCTATTCTCCCCCCTCCTTGACACGTCCTCCCCAGATGTGTACAACTTACAGCTCTTGCTCCTGCTTCGCCCTGCAAGCACAGAGTTAACCTTGCCATGGGCTGCTCTGGAGCTAAGGCAGACACGTGCATTTAACATGTGTGCTATGCACATGCATGCATGAGCCAGCTCAGCGTTATAAAGCACTCTAAAATTAAGCCTTGCCACTCCCTGTGCTTTTAATTCTGCCCTCTCCTTCATGTGCCCTGTGACACAGTCTTTCATTTCATGACCACATGCCATTGCGCTGAGTCCCTCCAAGGGTGATGTATACTGGGTGTTGAATGGGTTCCAGCAGCATATTCAGGCGCCCTGTTTAAGCAGAGGCTTCTGTACAGGCTCACATCCACATATGGATCACAGGCACACACATTGAGTCCTCCAGCACGGATGGAGCAGCCACCTTCAGGGTGAATGTCAGCAGTGTTTGGATGATACAATAAATAATACTCATCAAATCCCAGACTGGTTGGAAGGGACCTTAGAGCTCATCCAGTTACAACCCCTTGCCATGGGTAGGGACACCTTCCACTAGAGCAGGTTGCTGATAGTCACAGGGTAACAATTTGCCTCCTAACACTTGGGAACTCAGCCACATGACAAGGAGAAAGCTTCTTCTATAGAGCTCCATGGGCAAGAACCACCACCTCTGCCTCAGCACCCAGCCCCTGGGAAACTCTTCCCTTAGGAAAAGCAGGAAACAGGCTCCCTGAGGGTCTGTCCAGGCTGCAATCACAGCCCCCTGTCACAGGGATAACGGGGAAGGACTGATGGGTGTGCTTGGGAGGCTCCAGGCTCAGCACTGGTGGGTGTGCCTGGCTCCATGCTCAGCACCCACACTGCAGGGCTGGCAGGGGGTGTCCTTCCCTGCCTCACCCGCTCTCCCTTCTCTCCCCAGCCTCCTTCTTCGGGGACGGCTTCGTGGAGATGCCGCTGGCGGATGCATCGCGCACGGTGCGGCTGCGCCTGCAGCTCTACACCAGCCAGCGGAACGGGCTGCTCTTCCTGGCCGCCGGGCAGCCCGACCACCTCCTGCTCCAGCTGCGGGACGGCACCCTGCAGGTCAGCACCCACCGGGCTGCGGTCTGTGGGGCTCCATCCAGGGCGAGGATGGAAGGGCAGCACCTGGAAGCAGCAGCCCATGGGGACAGATGCAAGCACAGACCCCTGCCAGGGGATGCTGAGCTCAAGAGGAGAGTGAACACGGGCTTGGGATTATCAGAGACACAGGGTCCAGCTGGGGGAAGCTCTTCACCGCTACACAGAGTAGTGCTGGGGAGCATCACGGAGACACCCAGACACCAGCACCCCATGGTCAGACATGGTGCATAGCATCCCTGGGGTGCAAGGGGTTAGTGAAGAGAAGGGATGAGATGAGAGAGGTCTCCCCTGTGCTACCACAAGCCAGATGGAGCTAGGACATGGGAAGGGATGAGGGCAGAAGAACAAAATTCACTCTTGTGGTTATGGTGTTGGCATTCACCATGAAGGAAAAGAGCAGGGAGCATCCGAGATGCACATCCTGCCTCTGTGCAGCACAAGCTGGGCCACCAACCACATCTAAACCAAAGCAGGACAGCAAGTGAGCAGCTGGCCGGAGGTCTCCCTAATGCAGACCATGTGTCTCAGAGGCCACCAGCTAACCCTCTGCTCCAGCAGGCTCCAGGCTGCTGCCTGTGGGGAGCAAAGCCTGTTATTTCCCTGCCCGTTCCCAGGGGAAGCAGCAGCCCAGGGTGCAGGGAGGGAGGCTAGCAGGCAGGATGGGGCAGGGAAGGAGTGAGCATCTGGCAGATGTGGGGAGAGGAGAAGCCCAGATGTGGGACCGGGAGATAGAGGAACACTGGGAAATAACCACAAGACTTGGGAATGAGTGAAAAGGAGGGAAATTCAGAGGATGGGACAGAGAGGGCATGAAGAGAGGCGGGATGAGGGGCACTATGCCTGGAGGTGGAAGAGAGCAGGGCACAGAGCAGCAAACAGAGACCAAACCACTTGTGGGTGCCCAGGCAGGGGTCCGTGCTCCAGCAGGGATTGGAGGTAGATGCAGAGGTGTCCCCTTGCTTGCGCTGAGCACTGTGTCCTTCCCTGCAGGCCAGGCTGCGGCTGGGCTCGGAGGAGGTGATGCTGCAGTCCCCAGCGGAGCTGCAGCTCAATAACCTGGCAGTGCACGACGTGGAGCTGCTGGTGGAGGACAACAGGATGACGCTGACCATTGACAGCCTCTTCAACAGCTCCGTGGACATGGCAGGGCCTGCACGGGAGCTGGACATCCAGCACGGCCTCTACGCCGGGGGGACAGGCAGCCTTGACCTGCCGTACCTCACCGAGGCCAGCGCACCCTTCCGAGGTTGCCTCCACTTGGTGACATTCAACGGCCTGGATGTGCTCTCCTCCCTGTCCTCGGATGGCAGCTCCAAGGTCTTCCACCGGGTCCAGGAAGGCTGCAGCACACAGTTCTCTGCAGAGCCCGAGGAGCCCTTTGGGTTCCCGGGGCCACACTCCTACGTTGCATTTCCCACGTGGGAAGCGAGGGAGGAAGCAACCATTGAGTTTGTGATAACAACCAGTATCACCCAGGCACCCCTCATCTACCACGCAGGGCTGGAGAATGACTTCTTCTACCTGGAGATCTCCAACGGGCGCCTGAGGGGATTTGTGGAGAAGGGGAACGGCATCATTGTCCTGCACAACAACGTCTTCATCAGCGATGAGCAGCAGCACTACGTCAAAGTCCACACAGACATCCACAAGTTTGAGATACTGATAGATTACTACGCCTCATCCACCTCCAACAGGGGTATCAATAACTACCTGGACCTTCAGGGGAACCTCTTCATTGGAGGTATGAATGATAAAGCTCTGCAAAGGCTGAGAGAGCACCATCTTGCTTTCATCTCGGTGTGGACCATGACCAACAGCTCCTTCGTTGGCTGCTTGGAGGACCTGCGGATAAACCTGCAAAGGAGGAGCCTGCAAGATGCCGTGATCACAAGGGACATCACATTAGGCTGTGGAAAACAGGACCACTACTGGGAATACGATGAGGTGTACGAGCAGGATGAGGCACCCACCTCCCCACCTCCAGATGTCTGGTCAGGAGCTCCAGGGCTGGTGGTGGAGCCGTGCCGGCCGGACAACAGCTTCCCACCTGCCTTTGCCAACATCAGCAGGCTGCTGCATGTCAGCCCCCTCATCGTCTCCGAGGGGGGCATGGCCTATCTGGAGTGGAAGCACGCCCAGCCAACAGTGGACTTGAGCCTTGCAAACATCCGCCAGTCCCAGATCCTCTTTAGCATCACCAACGACCCAAGGCACGGCCAGCTGGAGCTCGACATCCCTGGGTCCAGGAGCAGGAGGAAGTTCACCTTGTTGGACATCGTGAATCGGAAGGTTAGATACATCCACGATGGCTCCGAGGGGCCCATGGACCAGCTGATGCTGGAGGTGACGGTGACAGCCCAGCAAGGGGTCCCGGAGTGCTTGCGGCAGGGGCAGATGTACCTGCTGCCCATCATGATCAACCCCATCAATGATGCCCCGCAGGTGATCTTCCCCCATGGGAACCACATGACAATGCTGAAACACACGCGGAAGCACCTGACCACCGACATCCTGCAGGTCCTGGATGATGACACATCCTGCGATGACCTGGAATTCCAGCTGCATGGTGGCCAGCAGATGGAGGAGGGTTATGTGGAGTACGACTTTCACCCTGGAGTGCCCATCGAAGAGTTCTCCTGCAGGGACCTGGAAGCAGGCAACGTAGTCTACGTGCATCAGAGCGGGACAAACTCACAGCTCACCTTGCAGGTGAGTGATGGCACAGTCCCGAGCCCCATTGCTACCTTAAGCATCCTCGCCATTGACCCCGACATCCACCTGCACAACAACACTGGTCTCTCCATCTCCCAAGGAGGAGCTGCACGCATTACCACAGCCAACCTGTCAGTGGAGACAAACGCAGTGCAACAACGGGTGGCTATTCTCTATGTCCTCACAGAGCCCCTAAGGTATGGGGAGGTCCAGAAGCAAGGAAGCATGGGAGGGGAATGGAAAAAAGTTGAGTCTTTCCACCAGCAAGACCTGGAGCAAGGGCGCATCCAGTATTTTAGCACAGACCCGGAGCACCGGCTGGAAGATAGCGTGGAAAAGCTGAGATTCAAAGTCCAGGTGGGGCAGAAAGTGTTGGAAAACAACACCTTTCTCATAAGGATTAAAAGAGCCACCATTAAGATGAAGACCATGGTCCCCCTCCAGATGAAGAATAAACGGCACAGAAACATCACCACTGAGGAGTTGGAGGCAATGTTGGAAGATCCAAACTCCACCCCAGTCCCCTTCCACTATGTGATAATCCAGGCTCCCAAGAAGGGAAACCTGGAGCTGCTCGGCAACAGGCTCACCGAAGGCTTTGGATTTAGCCAAGAGGACCTGCAGAGAAGCCACCTGAGCTACAGCGTGACCATCAGGAACTCTCAGCAAGCCGAGGACACCTTCCAGTTCCGCGTGCGTGCGGGTGAGCAGCACTCTCCTGTCTATACCTACACCATCAGCATTGGTGGGGACCCCGATGCACCAGCCCTGACCAACGTCCTCCTGACTGTGCCGGAAGGCGGGCAAGCGGTCATCTCCAAGGACCACTTGTTTGTGGAGAGCATGAACAGCATGGACTACCTGTATGAAGTGATTGAGGGGCCCGCGCACGGGAGGCTGGCCTGGGCCACATCCCATGGCTGGGCCTCCAGAGAGGAGATCACGGAGTTCACCAACGATGACATCCTCCAGCGCCGGCTGCTGTACCAACACGATGACTCCGAGACGCTGGAGGACGACATCCCCTTCGTAGCGACCAGGCAGGGTGATGGCAGCGCTGAGCCCGAGGCAGAGGAGGTGAGAGGTGTTTTCAGGGTCTCCATCCAACCCGTCAATGACCACACTCCGGTTCAGGTGGTGAATAAGGTGTTCAACGTGGTGCGCAATGGGCAGCACCTACTGACAACAGATGACATCGCCTTCACCGATAAGGACTCCGGCTTCTCCGACACGCAGCTGGTGCTGGCGAGGAAGGACATTCTCTTTGGCAGCATTGTGTCCGTTGATGACAGAAGCCACCAGGTCTATCGGTTCACACAGGATGACTTGAGGAAGAAGAAGATCCTCTTTGTCCATTCAGGGGCTGATCGGGGCTGGATCCAGCTGCAGGTCTCAGATGGTCTCCATCAAACCACGGCCCTCCTGGAAGTACAGGCATCAGAGCCCTACATCAGAATAGTCAACAACACCGGTCTGGTCATCCACCAAGGCAGTCGCGGGAGCATCGATTCCTCTGTTCTCAGCCTGGAGACCAACATGGACATCAGGTCAGATGAAGAGATACGGTTCCTGATAACAACCCCCCCGAGGTGGGGCACTGTGCTGAGAGGGGAGCAGCCGGTCATGGCCTTCTCCCAGAGGGACCTGCTAGCAGGAGAGATCTCCTACCGCCACAACGGGAGCAGGAACACGCGGGATGAGCTCCAGTTCACTGTAGAAGTGAATGAGGTGGCAGTGGAGGACACGCTGGCCATCAGCGTGTTCTTGGACACCCATCCCAGCCCCCTGCACATGGTCAACCACAAGGAGATCCACGCCTTCCAGGGGGAGGGAGCTGGGATCAAGGAGGAACACTTACTGGTGAGTATCCCCCTCTCTAGTCATTCCCCAGACATGCATCACTTCCCCGGCCACCAAACCAGGAGAGCCACCCATGGGACTCCACTTTACTCCCACCTGCCCAGTGGAAATGACTTGTCGGGCTTTGCCATGGAGTAGATGGGGGGTTCTGGCATGGCATGAGCAAGAAGGTGTCTCTTGCAGCTTATCCTACAGCCAAGCCTTAGGGTATTGCACAGCAGTGGGGCTGTGGGGCAGTCCAGGCTTGCAGGCGCCAGCCCCACACTCACACTGTATCTCCCCCATACTCCCAGGTGACCCATGAAGAGATCCCTCCCCAGGACATAGTCTACCTGGTGAGAAGGCCCCCAACCTCTGGCTTCCTGGCAATGCTTCAGCACGACCAAGACTCAAACGAGCAGCCCAGCCTGGACCCCATCCAGTCCTTCACCCAGGAGGATATCAACAGCGGCAGAGTCCTCTACCTCCACTCCAAGCCCCAGGAGGAGCGTGACCAGTTTGTGGTGGACATCACAGGCAGCAGTGCGGACCCTCTGGAGGGGGTGGTGGTGAGCCTGGCCGTGCTCCCCAGCACCGTCCCATTGGATGTCCGCAACATCACAGTGCCAGGAGGTGGCTCTGCCACCCTCTCCACAGGCATCCTCAACATCCCCAACCCCTACTACGTGGCTCTGGGTGTGGAGTTCATGGTGCTCGAGCAGCCCAGGTTCGGCATCCTCCTGAACAGCGAGCGGCCCGTGGGTGCTGGGCTGCACAGCTTCACCTGGAGAGAGGTAGAGCATCAAGGGTGCTCCTTGCCTACCACACTGCTTTCGCAGGGAGGTTGGGAACATCCCAGGGTGGGCTCCAGCCCTCAGCAGCTCTGAGAGGATGGGAAAGGCTCCTCTCCCCATCCAAGATATTTGCCCTTAGGATGGAGGGGTTTGGGGTGAGGGGCATGCATCACCCACTATGGTGTGTTTAAATGTCCCTGGGGATACAGGGTGGGGATGCAGGCAGAGCACCCACACCGGGTTGCCCCGGAGCGACTGGTAGGTGCGCATCTTGCTCCCTCCTCCCAGGTCGGGTGCTCAGGTCCCCTCCCCGAAGGTCACCCAGCCCTTGCCCCACAGGTGGAACGGCAGCAGATCCAGTACCGGCAGCACGGCCCCGGCGCCAGGACCGACAGCTTCACCCTGCTGGCCAACGCCTCCGAGGTGGATCGGCAGAGCCAGCCCAGGACCATCTTCATCACCATCCTGCCCCGCGGATCCAAGGGGCCCCGGCTCAGGGTCAACGCCGGCCTGCAGGTAAGATGCCACGGGGATGGACGGGCAGGCACATCCACGGGGCTCAGCGCCAGAACACCGAGGGGTGGTGGTGGTGGGGTCTAGTCCCTCATGGGGACCTCACGGGACCCCCCACTCCAAGCCTGGTCACGCACCTCTGGCAAACGGGGCACAGCAGAGCAGGGACGGGGTTCAGAGGCAGGCGATGGGCTCCGGGATAGGGAGGCGGTTTCACGGCGGGGCGAGGAGCTGCAGGAGGCGGAGACCGGCTCCGCTGGCCCCTCTCCTTCCGCCCCGTCGATGCTGCGAGCGGCCGCAAGATGGGAGCATCCCCCCGCAGCAGCGCTGCGGCCCCGCAGCTACGTGCCACGGCGGCAGGCAGCGGCCCCGCGCCGCCTCTTCTCGGAGCAGCCTGCCCCAGGGCCCGCTCCATCAGCACAGAGTGCGAGTGCTCCATTGTGTAGGCACCTTTCACAGCCCTCCTGATGCCCATCGCGGTGAAGTCAGAAGCAAGCAGGTCTCGCCAGCCGCTGGAGTCCCCTCTTTGCTTCAGGCACCTCCTGCCCCATTAAGGGTCACTAATTGCAAATTGCAGCAAAGAAATCAGTAGCAAACAGGAGGGCCACACACACCCCACACCCCCCAGGCTATCCTCACCCTACCCAAGTTTTCCCAAGCTGGCTGGAGAGAACGCTGCTCTTTCCATCACAACCATCATGGCCAGATCCTCACAGTGACTTTGGGAAGGTGTCTGGGAGCCTGGACTCCGAAAAAGATCATAGAAACATAGAATTCCTTAGGTTGGAAAAGATCCTTGAGATCATCAGGTCCAACCGTTCCCAGCACTGCCAAGGCCACCACTAACCCATGGCACTGAGGCCTCATCTCCATGCTGTGTGAACACTTGCAGGGACAGTGCCTGCAGCCCTGCCCTGGGCAGCCTGTTCCAATGCCTGAGCACCTCTGGGGCAGGAATTGTTCCTCAGCTCCATCTAAACCTGCCCTGGTGCAGCTTGAGGCCGGTTCCTCTTGTCCCATCCCTTGTTCCTTGGGAGCAGAGCCCAGCCCTCTCCTGGTTCCATCCTCCTCTCAGGCAGTTGTAGAGATGCTCCAAGGGAAGGGAACAGGCAAGGAGAGGGACTCAGGGCAGCCAGCAAAGTTTGGGGCACCCCATCCACAGCCAGCCCCTGCTCTAGGCCTGCCTCAGTTACACTCCCCAGTCCAGGAAGCTCAGCCCCTTCCCAGCAAACCCCTTTTATAATGCCAGGAGTTCTCCAGGATCTGTCCCAGCTGTGCACAAATCCTGCACTCCCATAGACACTGGTTAATCCATTAGCTGCTGAATCCATGGTGGCCCCATCCCTGCTCCAGAGGCCACAGAGCTCCTCTCTGCTGGCCCCCTGGCTCTGGCAGGTTGGAGGGAGCCGGCAGAGCAGCTCTGGCCCCTGTGCCATCCATTAGACACAGAGCTGGCCCTGTGAGAGAGGAGGAGAAGGAGGAAGCTCCTTCCCTGCCTTATTTTTAGGCAGCCCATTATTAGCGCAGTGACTGCGAGGCAGTCGGGTAACACATCCTTCCCTCCCAGCCACCGTGCTAAAAAAAGGGTGAAGGGAAAGGAAAAGCTCCCAGAATAAACCCTGAGTTTATTCCATGTGCCTTTCCATCGGGATCCCCCCCCGGCCCTGGGAGGGGTAACCTCGGCTGCCCGCAGGAGGGGCTCTGGAGCTGGGAAAAGCTCCCTGCTCCCAGCAGGAGCAATGCTAAAGCAACCCGAGGCTCAGGAGGGGCCCGGCCCTGCTGTGTTTGTGCTGTGGCGAGAGATGACTTCAGCGTTTAAAGGTCAGGCCGGGTCCAGGGGAGAGGGATTGCACAAAGCTTCCTTCCCTCTGCTGCCTGTGCCGGCCAGCGCCGGGATGAGGAGACAAGGGGCAGGGTTCAGACCCCACAGCAGAGCCCTTTGGAAAGGACCCTGCAGCTCGGCCTCAAGCAGCTTCTTGAGTTGCAGCAGGAGAACGGGTGGCAGGATGCCACCAAGAGAGAGGCTTCCAGTGCTGCACCAGCGCACACGGGCACGCTCCGGGCGCTGCTCCGCGGCCTCTGCTGGAGAACAGAGGCGACACAGAGGCTGAGCAAACATAATGGGAGCAGGAACCAGGCAGGAGGCTTTAATAATGCAGAGGACGGGGAGCATGGCGAGGTGGCTCAGCCCCGGTGGCGCGGGCTCTGAGCCACCGTGTCCCAGTGAGCAGTGATGCCCGGTGCTGCCCGTCCCCCCCGCCTACAATCACCTCTCCAGGCTTTGACCACAGCTTGGCACCGAGCCCCGGCTGTGGTAGCAATTCCAAAGGGCACTGGAGTGACCTGGCTGTGGAGAAGGAACAGCCTGCAACTCGGGAGCACACACAGCACAGCAGCAGCTCCCATTGCCGCCTGTGTCCAGCAGTGCTTCCCCCACCCCATCCCTCCAAAGCGGTGTTTTCCAGCCTGCCTCCCGCCATCCCACAGGGACTTCCAAGGGATTTCATTTCACTGCCGGCACCCACACCCACTCAAGCAATGCTTTGAGTTAGGCCAGCTGAAAGCAGCAGAGAAGAGCTCATCACAGGCAGCTGAGCAGCAGAGCCAGTGCCGGGGTGTTGTCCTGTGGGCTTGCGGGATGCAGCACATCCTGCCCCTCCACCCTGCATGAGCTGCAGGAAGGCTCAGCCGATGCAGCCCATGCTTTCTGGGCATCCTGAGAGTGAAAGGCAGCTTTGGGGTGTGATGAGGTACAGCAAAGGATTAGGAACAGGGAAAACTGCCTCCAGATGGAGATGGGAGATGCTGGGGCTTGAGAGAAGCGGCCCTGGGAAGCCTCACAGCGGCCCTGAGCTCAGCTGCATACTTGTCATTCCTGCAGGGTTTGCTGGGGCGGCTGGTGGCCTTGCTGCAGCCTTGGGAGAGCACAGCGGGATGGGTGCTTTGATGGGAGCATGAGCTGCGAGAAACATCCAGCCTGGGAGAGATAGGGCTGTAGTCATCACGTACCCAGGGAGCGAGTTCAGGGCTCAGCGACCCCACTAAAAGCCCTTTCCCTGCAGAGCAATGGGGAGCAATGTGTCAAAGGCACAGGACCGTGCCTTCTTCCATTCCCAGTGCTTGGGAAAACTGAGGCACACAGGGGCAAGCCCTCCCCATTGCCCTCCTGCACACACCATGCGGATGCATGGACCATGGTGGCAAACCTGGCAGCGGTGCAGAGTGACAGAGGCATCCCCCAGCACACAGCCAAGGCATCCCTGTGGGCCGGGATGTGCTCAGGCACCCAGTGAAGCGTTCTAAGTGGGGATGGGATTTGGAGCTGGCTGGGGAAGAGGGGAGAAGCGCTGGGAGCCTCACAGGGGGTTACAGCCTCTCCCTATCCCCCAGCTGCGGGAAGGCGCCACGGCTGCCATCAGCCCCTATGTCCTGAGCGCCGAGGACGAGGACTCCCTGCCGGAGGAGGTGATCTACTCCATCCAGCCCCCAGCCAATGGGAAGGTGGTGCTGAGGTCGGCGCCCGGTGCTGAGGTCCGGCGCTTCACCCAGGCCCAGATTAACAACGGCCTCATCCTCTTCATGCACCAAGGTAGGACAGGGCTGAGGTGCCCTGGCCCCCTGCATCAGCCTGAGGGAGGTGGTGACAGCACTGGAGGGGAGCTGGGCCACCAAGGTGGATGCGAACCCCATCACTCAGCACGCTGATCCAGGTTGATGGTGGCTGCAGCCTTCTCTGCCCCAATGAATGCCCAATGAATGCTTTCTGCAGGGCAACTGGATGGGGGCTTTGCCTTCGACCTGTGGGATGGTGAGAACCTGTCTCCTGGGCACTTCTTCCTCATCAGGGCACAGAGGGAGCCCCTCATCAGCCTGGCCAAGAAGCAGAGCCTCACCGTGTGCCCAGGTGGGTACAGGAGTGTTCCCCATCCTCCCAGTTGGATGGCAGCCCCTTGCACCAGCCCCTGCCTGCGCACTGTGAGCGGCGAGGCCATGGGTTGAAATCCATCCCGGCCATGTTTTCCAGGTGCCCTGCAGCCCATCACCAGCCAGAACCTGCAGGCAGTGAGCAACAGCCCCGCCAGCTCCACCGCTCTGTACTACAGCATCGAGCAAGCCCCGCGCCTGGGCAGGCTCAGCACTGCCCAGGGAGAGGAGATCAGGAACTTCACCCAAGCCCAGGTGAGCTTTCCCTGTCGCCAGCATCCCAAGGCACAGCCCTGCATCACCCCACGGGTCCCAGCCCGGCCCATTGCCACCAAGGGCACCTGATCCCTGGAGGAGGCAGAGCTGGGCTGCAGCCGCATCCTGGCTTTCCCAGCTCTGCCGAGGGCTGCTAAAGAGGGATTAAGAGCTGCCGCCCCAGCACCGGCTTTACCACGGCCACCAGCCCCGGATTTAGTGCTGGGAGAGGCTCAGGGAGTTATAATCCCCTTCCCTTAGCTCCCTCCCTGCTGCAGACTGGCCGTGCTGGCTGCTGCTGCAGGTGAGAGCAGAGCGCAATGCTTTCACCCCTGCTCTGAGCTCTGTCCCACAGGGACAGGCTTTGCAGGGCATGGCACAGGGCTCATTGCTAAGCCATCCCTCAGAAGCACACACACCTGGAGCTGTGCTTGCCCAGCCCTTCTGCTGAGCCTCAGTTTCCCCCGCTGAGGGGCAGAAGCATCCTGGCAGGGAGGCACAGGATGGCATCTGTACCACTGCGGGCGATGATCCCCATCTCTTACTTAACCAGTGCTTGGGTGCTCCCTCCTGGAGCTGAGATGAGAACCCAGGGTGCACACATTGGCTCTGGCACAGCATCACCAGCTCCTCCGTCCCCAGTGCCACAGTGCCCATCACACCAGCGATGAAACAAATGCACTGTTTTCCACACGGGTCTGTATTTTACCCTTCGGCAGAGCTCATGGAGGTTTTCTTTGCTCCTAGGTGGACAGCAGGTTGATTTTCTACCAGCACGAGATGCCAGAGAAGCCCTTCTGGCTGGCTCAGGATGCCATCCGCTTCCGTGTGGTGGCTCCCACGACCATCTCGGATTCCTTCATCCTCCTTGTGCTGATCTCCTTCGAGGCAAAGTGTCCCCAGCGCTCAACCCAGCTATGGAGGAATGAAGGTAAAGAAGGAAAGGAGAAGTTAGGGACAAATGAGCTCTCCTGAAGCTGGGATTGTGCAAACTTTAGGACAGCTTGTTTGTACGTAGACAGTGATGTGCCATTTCCCACGGCCAAATAAGCATGAGCTTTGCATCAAGCAACATCTAAACCTGCATCCGTCCTTTAACTGGCTCTCTGCACAACTCCTTCCTGCATCGTCTCTCCAAACCAAGTCCCAGTGATTCTCATGCCTCCCAATTTCTTCGCAATCCTCCTTCCTCTGCTCTAGCTTGCTCTCCTTTAGCTCTGCTCTTCCCTCCAGCAGATCCTGGCTCTTCCCAGGCCTCACAGACCTTTGGGTTTTCCCTCTTCTCCCCAGGTCTCCAGCTCCCAAGGGCTCAGCGGGCTGAGATTGGCACCTCAGTCTTGGATGCCTCCAACCTCCTGAGCCAAATCCTGGCCCCGGAGAGAGCTGCACACGATGTGGTCTTCCTGGTGACGGGGCTACCGGCCCATGGGCAGCTCCTGGTGGCCGGTGTGCCCCTGGAACAGTCTCAGCCATTCTTCCTGCAGTCAGACCTGGCTGCAGGGCGCCTGGCATATGCCCATGGTGGGGACAGCGTCTCTGAGGATCATTTCAGGTTCAAGGCCTGGCTCCGGCCCCGGGCGCAGCGGTCCCTCCGTCCCCCACAGGAAGGGGTGGTCATCTCCGAAGCCTTCAATATAACAGTGACCCCCAGCAGCATCAAGCCACTGCAGGTGGTGAAGCAGCAAGAGGTGCTGAGGGTGCCCCCAGGCTCTGTGGTGACGCTGTCCCAGGAGTACCTGGATGTGGCAGATCCATGGGGGTCCCCAGAGGAGATGGTGTACAGCATCCTCCAGAGACCTCCTGCTGGCCACGTGGCCAACACACACAACCCGCAGGAGCCCATCGACCGCTTCACCCAAGCGGATGTCAACGCAGGCCACGTGGTGTTTGTGGCCAGCGGGAGCCATGCCCCAGGCGCCCTGGCCCTCAGCCTCTCCGATGGCCACCACCCGCCCACCCTGACCGCTCTGGACATCGAGGTGCTGCCTGCGGGGAGCACTGCCCCCAGCCCCGTGCTGCTGGAGGTGCCCCAGGACCTGAACAGGGCCCCCGTGTCCCACCATCACCTCCTGGGCGCCGCAGGGCTGGGGGCGGGCAATGCCCTGTACAGGATCACCAGGGAGCCAAGGTTTGGCCAAGTGCAGGTCAACCAAAAGCCGTCACGGGGCTTCTCACAGAAGCAGTTGGACCGCGGGGAGGTGACGTTCACCTTCATCGACCTCAGCTCTCCTGAGGATGCCTTCCAGTTCCTCGCCATGTCCCGGGCAGCAAACAGGACCGGGGTGGTGAACGTGACCGTCCGTGCCTTGGTGAAGGCTCGGCCAGGCAGCCTGTGGCCCAGGGGCACCACAGCCCTGCTGGACACCAGTGTCCTGGATGCCAGCGAGCTGGCCAACCGCACCAAGAGCATCCCAGTGTTCAAGGTCCGCAGGGCACCCCATGCCAGCCGCCTGGTGAGGGTCTCCAGGGACCCAGGACAACCCAGCACTCCCATTGAGACCTTCAGCCAGAGCGAGCTGGAGCAAGGGTTGGTGGGACTGGAGCTGCTGGATGCTGCAGAGACCGACCAGCCCCTGCAGAGCGACAGCTTCGTGTTTGAGCTGGTGGCTGCCGGCGTGCCACCCGCAGTAGCATCCCTGGGGTACAGCACTGAGCCCTACAACGCCTCAAAAACCTATGGTGTCACCCTGCTGACTGCCCCCATGGCAACCTCACCTCCCATGTCCCAGCCCCATGGCACAGCACGGAGCAGTCCCAATGCCAGCGAGCTGGGCATGCCCCCCACTGCCTGGCTGGGCCCTGGTGCCACCACCAGCCCCAGCCCCGTGGAGGGGGGCACCTTCCTCAGCTTCATCGAGGCCAACATGTTCAGCATCATCATCCCCATCTGCCTCATCTTACTCCTGCTGGCCCTCATCCTGCCCCTGCTCTTCTACCTGCACAAGCGCAACAAGACAGGGAAGCACCACGTCCAGGGCACCCCCTCCTCCAAGGCCAAGAATGGGGCTGTACCGGACCAGGAGACCTTCCGGAGGACGGACCCCAACCAAGGCATCCCCCTAACGACTGTCAATGCCCTGGAGGGCAAGGGCACAGGACCCCCATCCCAGGCCACGGGGGCACCCCCAGACCCCGAGCTCCTCCAGTACTGCCGGACTTCCAACCCCCCCCTGAAAAACAACCAGTACTGGGTGTGAAGGGCTCAGGAATGGGGCACGAGACCTCCTGCGGGTCCAGAGCCTCCCAGATACAACCACCACCTCCTCCCGGCTCTCCTCCTCCTCCCTGGGAGCTGGCATCCCATGGATGCAGGAGGGCCCTGGGGATACAGGGGCTGCCCACCCGGGAGCCCCAAATCTGTGTGTGGCTTTGGGCAGGGGAGCGGAGCTCTGCATAAGCAAGGCAGGACAGGCAAAATGCCTGAGCATCCCTGGGGAACGCTGACGCTGGGTGCTCACTGGGGCCACCCCACAGCGCTGGAGGACCGGTCCCCACCGAGCCACCCAGGCAGGTCCCAGTGGTGGCTCCTCCATGGGCAGCTCTTGCCGTAAGAGGGAGGATGAGGAGCAGCTCACGCTGAGTCAGGCTGGGGATGAAGCTGCCCAAATCCCCCAGGGCTAGGCGGGCTGACACTGGAATGGGGCTTGGAAAGAACTCCGTGGCCAATGCCAGGGGAATTCAGGAATCCCCACCCACTTGGAAAGAAAAACCCTGCCTCGCTGTTCCTCTGCGTGCCTGCCCTATGCTTCATACAGCAGCTTGCACCCAGCCCGGGGGGGGGGGGGTGTTGCACAACGGGGAGGGATGGCAGGAGCTCACCTGGGCAGGGTGACACCGGAGAGGAGAGCAGGGAACCGGAGCCAGCCCCGGTTTTCCGCTGTCTCCTCCAGCACAAGGAGTAAACAGCGTGAGCTGCCTTTGCCGAGGTGCATCATGCTTTTCGTAAGCTGGAACGTCCCTTGCCAGGCCTGTTCTGAGCCCAGCGAGCTGCCGAGAGACGTTTGGAGGGAATGGACCAAGCTCTAGGCTCTTACTCAACTTTTCCCCGGGCTGGAGTCCTCAAAGCTTCAATAGGAATAGAGGGAGAGCAGAGGGAAAAACTGAGCGCTGAGCCCAGGATGGGTCCCAACAATAACACCCTGCTCTGCTGCAGCTGGGAAGCTCATCACAGGGCACAGCCCGCTCTCACAACACGGATGGGAAGCTGCAGCAAGCCCCCGGGGACCACGGGGATGTTTTACACTTGCACCCTCTTATCCAGGGTAAAAACCCATCCCACAGTCCCTCCCCACACCAGCAGCCCCGCTCCCAGGCTGCGGCACAGCAGGGATGCTTGCTTGGAGCACACCGGCAGCTTTCCTGGCTCTATTTATGGTGCCAGATGCTTGCTGAGAAGGCAACACATCCTCCTGGGCACCCACAGGGTGCGGACAGGCAGCCCCATGTCCCCCAGCCCCATGGCACAGCACCTCCAAGCCCTCCTGGCCTGATGGGTGCCAAGCCTGAGCACTGGTGCCTCCCTCCCTGCTTCCCACCTCCTACCCCATCTGAAGGGGGAAGCAATGATGTTTCCTACTGCACAGAGGCAAATCACATCCTCTCCCCTCTGTGAAATGGGGACAGTGCATGGCTGACCACAGCACTCGGGACCACCTCTGCAGAGCAGAGGGAATGCCATTGCCTGCATCCTCTTTGGGATCACAGCTCTGTGCCTTCCCCATCCCATCCACATGAGCACCTTCATCACCTTCGCTAAGTGCGCGCCCCACAGTGAGGGATGGAGGTTTGCAGGGCAGCTGGTGGCAGCCACCGAGGGCCCCCTTGGAAGCATCCTCCGGGTTTTCCTTCCCAATGATTTTCTCCTCGCACCCAGGGATTAAATAAAAGGAACGTGGCCTATTTTGTCAGGAGCACTGAAAGCGAAGCAGGTTATTTTTAAGGCTTGTGGTTGTATTTCCACTGCTGGGAAACCTCCATTTCCTGAGGTCAGGGGAGGACAGGCAGTAACCTGGGAAACCCCAGTGCAGATCCTGGCTCTCCGGGGTTTAAACCCAGAGCAAAGCTGGTGACTCCACTTGGGTTAGCTGGGGTTTGGATGGGGCGGGATCATCACCGCACCCCCAGGGAAGGGGTGAGGGTCCGGGCTGGCTCCTGCCTGCCCACGGAGCAGGCAAACCACAGCCCAAACACGCTTCAGAGTTTCCTGGCCAGGCCCTTTGGCTTCCCCACACTGCGAAGCACCAAAGCTGCCTGCTCACAGAGGCACAGCCCATCCTCAGCTTCCTCCTCTCCCCAGTCTGGGCCAGAACCGCTCTGACCCAGGAGGTTTTGGGGGTGACAGGAGCAGGGCTGGTTATGAAGCTTGCTGAGCTTTAGGGGAGATCCCGGACTGGTTTGGGTTGAAGGGACCTTAAAGCTCACCCAGCTCCAACCCCTGCCACGGGCAGGGACCCCTTCCACTGGAGCAGCTTGCTCCAAGCCCCTGTGTCCAACCTGGCCTTGAGCACTGCCAGGGATGGGGCAGCCACAGCTTCTCTGGGCACCCTGTGCCAGCGCCTCAGCACCCTCACAGGGAAGAGCTTCTGCCTAAGAGCTCAGCTCAGTCTCCCCTCGGGCAGGTTCAAGCCATTCCCCTTGGCCTGTCCCTACAGGCCCTTGTCCCAAGCCCCTCTCCAGGTTTCCTGCAGCCCCTTTAGGCACTGGAGCTGCTCTAAGGTCTCCCCTTCAGGAGCCTTCTCTTCTCCAGGCTGCCCCAGCCCAGCTCTCTCAGCCTGGCTCCAGAGCAGAGCTGCTCCAGCCCTCGCAGCATTTCCATGGCCTCCTCCCCACCTCCTCCTGCACCTCCAGCTTCTGGTGTCTCCCCAGGCTGGGCACACGGGGGTTTCTCACACTCCCATCCCTCCTCTGCCTTCCCCCCATTGCTGTGCCCAGCCTGGGAGTGCAGAGAAACGCAGGGTTGGGGTGGAATGGGGACATGAGGCATGGGAGCAGCAGGAAGGGTGGAGGAGGTGTCATCAAGACCCTCATATACCTACATGCAGGTTCTGAAGGCAGTGGGTCAGGCTAAAGCGAGGCCAAGGGAAAGCAGGGGGTGGCAGAAAGCAGGGCAGGAGGCAGAGGACACGCAGATAGAAAGGAGCGAGGAGGCTGCGGTGACTCACGGAGGTGCAATGGGAGGGATGTGACAAACCATCCCTGCCACCACCTCCTCACGCGTGGGAGAGGCACGGCAAAAGCAAGGACATCACCCAGCAGAGCAGCCAGAGGAGGGAGGAGGACTCCATAGCTGGTGTCCTTGGCCTCTGTGCCACCTGAGATAGAAGCACCTCAGGTTACCTGGGCTGTCACACAGGGGCTCACGGGTGGCAGAAGCCAGTGGGTGTCATTTCTGTTGTGTTCTGAGTTCAGAACTCACCCTTGCTTTCTGCAAGCCCCAGGGATTCCTAGGGCAGGGTTTGTTGGGAAGCCCAAACGCAAGGCAGAGCTTCCCCAGGCCACACAGCTGCGATGGAAAGAGAGAAGTGGATCCTAACCCCATGGCCATCTCCCATCTGCCTCCTCTTCTGGGTTAATAAGGAGGGCAGCATTGTGGGGGGGACTCTGTCACAGCTCCAGTGACATGAACCAGTTTCCAGGCACCTATTCAAATGCAAACAATAGGCCAAACAGGTTTCTTTGAGCAGCCACCCAGGGCAGATGGCTTTGAAACCCTTCCCACAAGCTTTAGCCAAGGAAACACAGGGGTTCAGCAAAGGAGGGAGTTTATTCCCAGCCCATCCAAGCCCTGCACAGGAGATGGGGATCCAGGTAAGCATCATGCCCACAGCCTCCAAATTCCTCCCCACCACAGGCTGCAGAACATTGTCCACAGTGTTCTTGGGGCCAGACACACAGCGAACCCATGGACCCCTCAGCTTAGGCAAGCAGCCCACCTCTGCTCTGGGGAGGCAGAACATGGTCCAGGGGCTCCTGCCTCCTTTTCCCCATCCCCAAAACCTCTTTGGCAGCTCCACCAGCCCCGGGAGCCACCCTGGATTCCGCTGGGAGCCGGGAAGAGCAATCACAGGCAATAAGGAGGCGTCTCTAAGAGGACCCCCATTCCTCCCACAGTGGGTGCAGGACCTGATGGGGGTGGCTGGATCCTCCTGGGAGCCAGACCTGCGGTGTGGGGCAGGGCTCAGCACCTCAATGCGAGCCTCCCTCCCTGCGTGCCTGGCCCGGGCAGGCCATGCCCACAGCCTGCAGAACAGGCTCAGCCTGGCAGCGAGCCCGGCAGGGCAGGATGGAGCCTGGGGAAAGGAGCAGGCTGCAGGCACTCACCCTCCCAGCGCTGTCCCCAGCACCCCGGCAGCCTCCCACTGAGCTTAACCTGCAGGGCCAGAGGAGCTCCTTGGGTGCTGGCAAGCAGAGGAAAGGATGGAGAGGTGAGGACCCGGGCATCAGGAAGCATCCATTCCCCCTGCAGCTGCTGCCTGCCATGGCTCTGCAGCTGGTTTAATGTAAAACAGATTGAGCCCCAGCTCCATTTCCACACCCAACAACTCCAGACAGACAGCCAGTGACGGAGGGACAACCACAGCCAGAGCCTGGGCTCTCCACCCCTCCTGCAAACCCAACACACCCAGAGATGCAGCTCCCCAAAGCAGAGGACCTACCTTCCCTGGGCTCAGAAGGACATTATCCATCCTGGCACAGAGAACTGGGACAGGGTCTGCCCTGAGCATCACCCCAGCTCCGGCTGGGGGGGAACCAGCCCTTTGCAGAGCACCAGGGCTGCAGCGTCCAGCAGCAGAGGAATGAGGAGAGCTGGCAAGGCCCAGCTGCAGCTAAAGGTGGCTCCCAGCCCATTCCCCTTGCACAGGCACTGCTGATCCCCCCGTAACCTCGCAGTGCTGGGAGCAGGAGGCGCATCCCCATCGCAGCCAAGGGAAGCGGCTGGTGCTGCGGCCCAGGCAGGGTCACGCTTCGGAAACACATGAGAAGTGCAGCAATTAGCGGGTCAGAGCTGCCAAGTCGGAGCTGTCTCGCTCTGCCCCGTGCCAGTGCCCTCCCTTCAGGCTGCCTGGGGTTGCTCCTCCATGCAGGCACAGCTCATCACCTCCCAGCGCGCTGGGGATGCATCCGGATGGGACCTTGGGCAGTGAAATCCCACCCCACGGCTCCATCCCCTGCACGTGCAGCCCTGGAGCTGATGTGCCCCTGCTCCCCGTTGGCAGCCAGCGTGCTTGCTGACGTGTGCCAGCAGCACACCGTGCCCGGCAGGCCTCATCCTGCCCGGCCATGGCCATCCCACCGGGAGCTGCACGCCTTTGCCGTGGGGAGGAGCCAGGTCAGGCCACTGCGCTGCTTTGGTGTCTGAGCCCCGGTTATTGAGCACCTTGGGGCTGGTGGTACCCAGCACATCCCCAGCTTCCCTATGGGACCCCGGGTGCTTCCGCACTCAGGAGGGGGTTTTCCTTCCATGGTGGGGACAGCCCCAAAGGGAATAAGCAAGACAAGAGCTCCTGGGAACCATGCATCAGCTGCTGCCATCTCCCCACCCACTGTCCTGCCTCGGCCTTGGCTTTCCCACGCAGGAGCAGCCTTGGGAAGCGGGAGGAGGAAGCGGACCTGCCCCATGTTCCCAGCGCTTCCTCTCAGCCCTGCGTGCCCCGGGGCTCTGTGCCTTGCGGGGCAGCAGGGACCGGGATGTGTCCTGGGTAAGGGCAGCAAGCAGAGCTCCTGGGGCTCAGGGAGCACTGTGTGCACCCCCATGCCCCTCCCCACCACCACCCTGCACCCTGGGGTGCCCACCCAGCAGCAGGAGCACTGGGGCAGCCACTGGGATGCTCAGAGCTGGGTCCATCCTCCAAACCTTGGTGCTTTCACAGATGTCACTGGGGGGGGGGGGGAGCAGGAGGATGCTCAAACCACCCACTTGGCCAAGGCAGACCCCAAAACCTGTGGGGCAGGAATGTTAATGGGAAGTGGGTTCTCCCAGCTGATGGGTTTGCCACACTGAGCCAGCATGGTCCAGACATGGGGGTACCCAAAGGGGTGGCTGGTGGGGCAGGGACACCTTTGTGAGTGCTGAAGGGCCACCTTTGGGGAAACTGAGGCACAGCCTTCAGAGGGGGTGCATGCATCCCACAGGGACCTTGTCGTGCCCCTGAACCCCTGCCAGGACACCGGAGTGAAGGACAAGCTGCTGGAGCAGCCGATGCTGTCATGGTGCTGGAGGATGGCAGCGGCAGGCTCAAACCCAGTGCCCATTGTGCTCCAGAGGGAGAGTGGGGGTAAGGAACGTGCCATCCTGCACAGAATCCAGCTTCCTCTGTGCTGGGCTGGTGCCAAGGATGCGGCCCAGGGTAGGATGGGGCTGGGGTTGGGATGCGATGGAGCAGGGCAAAGGCTGTGGGATGCAGGAGCAAACGCGTCCTGCCTGGACGGAGGTGTGCTCATCCCACGGCTGGGGCCAAGGCAGGCTCTGGGAGCAGGGAGCAGATCCCGCAGCATTCCCAGCGCTGCTGTTGTTTGAACAATACCCCGCTGGCCTGCATGCCGGGGCTAATTTTAACCCTGGAGCCAGGCCAAACCGGCCCGAACTTTCCTCACTGCGATGCATCCCAGCCATTTCCCTTCACAAACAAGGCCCCCGTGCCAGCCCCGCAGGCAGCGGCACACTGCCCAGGGTCCCATCCCGACAGACAAGGCAGGATTAGCCCTTCAGTGGGTGCTTTGGGCTGCTGGGAGCACCCCCCCCACTACCCACAGCACTTTGGGAGCTGGCTGGAATGTGGGATGCTGGCTCCCCGGGATGCTGGAGCAGCTCTGTCTTCCACAGCCATCTCTGGGAAGGAGGTGGGAGGGGTTTTTTCTACTGACAATTTTATTGAAAAGGCTTTGGGGCTGGGTTTTTTTTTCCCTTTTTGTTGTTTTTTCTCCCTTTTCCCAGACAACAAAGAGGTGCCCTCGGCCTCTGTGCTTCTATTTAAAAAGTGATTGGTAAAAATGCTGCAGAAACATTTGCGAAAAATGGAAAATATCGAAAACCTCTCGTGACAAAAAGAAACAAAACAAGAAATCATTCTCTTCCATATAAAGATCTTCTTCTTCTTCTGGTTTTCTTTCCATCAGAAAAGCTTGGAGTGTGCAAAATGTCGACCGCTTGGATTTCTTCTATCCCAGCGGGCTGGGATGCGCTCACCTCCCTGCTGCAGGAGGGAGGGCTGGGGAAAGCTAAACATCACCGGAGGTACCAGCACATCCATCTCTCTTGTGACACCCCCGCAGTCCCCACCACTCACGGCAGGGTGGGAGGTCCCCATGGAAAGAGGTGGCACATCCAGCCCGTGGGCGAGCCCTTCCCTGCCCACCCGGGAAGGGGGGGAAGAAAGCCCACAGGTATTTGGTCACTAGCGTGATGAGTTCCCACCGGGTCTCAGCCCGTCCCAACCGGAGGAGGTCTGCGAGGCCGTGGGGGAGCGAGCGGAGGCGTTAGAGGTTGTCGTACATGCGCAGCGCCTTCTCCAGCTGCTGGCTGACGCGCTGGTAGAAGATGATCTGCTGCTTCAGGTAGGACTGCATCATCCTCTTGAAGTCGGCCACGCGCCGCTCGTGGAAGTGGTTCATCTCGGCCTGCAGCGCGAAGCCCACCACGCGGCAGCGCTTGCGGATCCCGTCCGCCTCCTCCTGGTCCATGCGGCCCTCGTCGCTCATCCGCTGGCTCTCCTTCACCTTCGCGAAGGCGCCTGCGGGGCAGGGGACAGGCTGAGAGGATGATGGATCCCTGCGATCCCCCTGCCCCTGGCGTTCCCAGCCAGCACAGGAGTAAGGGAATCTGTGTGCTCCCAGGCTGCCATCTCCCCTTGCCCATCAATCCCCATCCCTCTCCTCAAGGAGTCTTTTCCCTCTGGATTCCCCAACTCCTTTTCTGCCCCATCCCCAGGCTGTCAGCTCACATTTAGCTCACATTTTGGGGAGTCTGGGCTACCAGAGGGCTGCGACTCAAGGCTTGGGGTACAAAGCTAACATGGGGCAGTGTTACCACAGCCAAGCCCCCTGGCCGAGCCTACCCCACAGATGCTGATGTACCTCCACGGATGGGGTTCAGGAGCAGCTTTGGGAGACCCCAGGCTGGGAGGTGGTGAACTGGGATGCAGGAAGGACATGCAGTACCGGCTGGAACTCGCTGGGAAAGCATCTCCCTCTCCCAGAGGCAGCTGATGCTCTGACACCACTTTTCCCCCCTCCTTCCATTTATTTTTACAGCTTGGTTTCGAAAGAATCCTGCCTGGCTCCGGCCCTGCATTCCTCCCCCTCATTAGCACAGAGGATTCAGGCAAACAGAGATCCTGTTTGCCTGAACACAGGGTCTGGCCCTCAGATCTTTCCCCTCTCCCTGCCCCTCGCTGGGTGCACCAGACTCAGGGTGACAGCGCTCCGGCCGTGCCAGCCCTGCTCCCAGCGGAGAAGAGGAGGAGGAAGAAGCGAAGGTTGGAGGCCAGATCCTGCCCACACAGCCTCGCTTCCGGATGGGATCCAGCCCCTCTTCACCGGGGCCATGTAAACAACGTGGGGAGGGACAGGCGAGGAGGGGACCTGCATCCTCCCCTTCCCCTTTGCCTCCCGCAGGGATGCGGAGCAATGCACGGACACGTGCGGATGCCCTGGCTTCACCCCAGGGAGAGCTCCCTGCCCCCACGATCCAGGAGGACTGCATGGACTTCGGCCCCGCTCCCCGCACCGACACACCCGCTGCTGGGTGCAAAGGGACACCCAGCCCTGCCTGCGGCCTCCCATGGGAAGGGCAAAGCAGACTCTGCTCACCCCGCTCCTCCTCCCTGACACCCCAAACACCCTGGGGACTGGTGAGGGGGCAAAGGAAACACAGGCAGCATCCAAGGTGCCTGCTCCTGGGCTCGGAGGGGCAGGGACCTACTCCTGAGTTTGACCCTGGTTGTCTCCAGCAGGTCCAGTGTGGCCAGGGGACTGCAGCAGGGCTGAAGGAAAGGACACTTCCACATCCCACCAGCCCCGTGCAGAACCCCCGGCCCAAGGCCATGTCCCAGCCCTGCAGCAGCAAACTCTGAGCCTCAGACAGAGAGGGAGGATGAGGAGGAACAAGTGGTGGTGGATGGGGATGCTCATGAGGTCAGGGCAGGTCACCCTGGCGCCAACAGCTCCTGCTCAGGGCCTGGGGGGAACAATGCCTGCGTTGACCCCTTCAGCAGCACCTGAGGAGCCCACAGCATCACTTGGGACAAAGCCTAATGCTGGACCCAACAGCCCCAGCAGCCTCTCCTAGGCTGGGGCAAGCAGGGAGCTGAGCAAGCAGGGACCATGCTGCCTCCTTGAGAGCCACAGGCCCTCACCCTCATTCCCACCCCTATCCTGATCCCCCATTCCCATCACTCCACAGCACAGGATTCCCTCATTGCATCCTGACCCCCACTCACATGGGGCCATCGTGCAGAAGAGGTCACCCCAAGGGGAGGAGCCACCCTTACCTTTCTGGAGGTGGATGATGTCTGGGAAGTTGGAGAGGAGCCCTTGGTACAAAGAGAGAGTGTCCAGCATGAGGAACAGGTCATTCTTGGGCTGCTCAGCGAACATCTCCCCCACGGTCTCATACGTCTTGCCCGTGTGGGAGATGGCATTGTTGAGGGCATCCAAGCTGTAAGGCGGGTCCATGTGGAAGGAGTGGCTGATAGCTTGGAAGGCATTGCCCAGCTTCTGGAATTCCTTCCGGAAGCCCCCCACGTGCTTGCGCACCAGCTCCGAGGCCACGTTGGTCAACTGCAGGACGCTGTCGTCCATCTTCTTGCTGAAGGCCTTGAAGGCATCCACGCGGTCCTCCACGTCCTGCAGGTCCTGGTGCTCCGTGGGGATCTGGATGGTGAGGAGGAAGCTGGCGCCCACCATCTCGTCCTTCTCCGCCCGGCGCTTGCCCAGCTTCCACTGCTTCTCGTCGCGGCAGCAGAGGAAGTGCTGGAAGCCCTCGTACTGGGAGAGGACGGGGTGGCTGGTCATATGGTCCATCCAGAGGATGAGCCGCCGCTTGCGCTTCTCGATGAAGTCCTCCTCGAAGCGCCCGGTGGCCTGCTTCTCGGGCAGGTGGGGCACCGAGATGACCGTGAACTTGTGCAGGAGGCGGTTGTAGAGCCAGTCAAAGTGCTTGTACCGCCGGTACACGGGCGAGTTGATGTTGCTGGGGGTCAGCTTGTAGGAGATGTAGCTCTTGATGCCCTTGAACTTGGTTTGCTTGGTGGGGTCCTCCACGGAGCAGATGAAGGGGTGAGGGTTGGCCCTCCACTGGGGTCCTTTGGAGCCCATCTCGATGCAGTACACCTCGGCGATCTTGGACATGAGGGGCACGTCCCCTAGGATGAAGGCTTCCACCCCCGAGCGGACGAAGCAGGAGAAGCGGTTCAGGTTCCTCCCCACCACGCTGCCCCTCTTGGAGGAGCTCATGCTGTCCTGCCGCTCCAGCGCCGGCTTGGGACGGTAACCGGTGTGCTGGTCGTGCCCATAAGCTGGGGGGTACTGCAGGCTGGGCGAGGGGTGCCCGTTGGTGCCCGGCGCGCTCCGGGGCTCCTCCACCACCGTGCACGCATCGTCCCAGTCATCCCAGTCATCATCATCATCATCCTCAAAACTGCCCTGGTAGGGGATGCTGGGGTTGGAGGGCGCTGTGTAGAAGGAGGAGTCGTGCCCGGGGGAGCCGGCCGGGCTGCTGGAGTAATCCGTGTAGTTGGAGCCGGACCGGGAGCGGAGGATTTCAACGTAGGAGGCTGGGAAGAGGCCGGTCTCCCCGCGGCTGTTCTGACCCTGTAACCACCCATCCAGGGAGTTCTCGCTGAAGATGACGAGCTCCTCGTTCTCCTGGATACTGATCTCCTCTTTGTTTTCGCTCTGGAAGTTGTAAAGAGCTCTGGCTTTCAACGCCATGGCCGGGCCCGGGGGCACACACAGCAGCCAAAACCCCCACACGCTGTGGGAATGGGAAAGGGCTCGGCCGGCTCCTCAGGGAAACAGGAAAAGCTGGAGAAACCCCCTTCGAGGTGTCGCCAATGTCCGTGTGTCCAAGTGACCCCCCGATCCCGGCGCCCCGGTTAAGAACACCATTCCCCGGTCAGGCGAGCAGCATTCCCGTCGCTCCCGCGGGATGTAACCCCCGGCAGGACCCGGAGCCGAGCTCGGCCATATCCTCGCAAGTTTTCGCTCGCTGGGACGCTGATCCCGCAGTTTCACTTTCCAAGAGGAAAAGACGTTGCTGCCAGCGAGGAAATCGATCCAAAGCGACTTTTCCCGGCGCTCCTGTGGGTAAAACAGCAGTCGGCGGGTGCCGGAAAGCGCCGGGAACCGACCCCAAACGCAGCCCAAGCTCCTGGCGATCCCGGCCCCGGGATTTTGCAATTCCCTTCCGGCCCGACGGCCGCGGGTGGTTGGTGCTGGGTTGTTGGTGTAGGGCTTTTCCCGCTGGAATCCGCCAGTCCCCCGCAGGACCGAGGGCACGGGCTCCCCGCAGGCCCGCGCCGGGGCCGGTACCGGGAGCTCCCGGCGGCTGCCAGCGCCGGCGGCGGAGCGGAGGGAGGAGGGCTCCCGTCCCGGCCGCGCCTCCCGCCCCTCCGCGGGCCCGGCGGGACGCCCTCACCGCATGGCCGGTTCAGGGCGCCGGGGGGGCACCGCCACTCGCTCCTACCGCTCGGGACTCCGGTGCCGCTCTCGGTACCGGCGTCCGGTGCCGGTGTGTGCGCCCGCTGCGCGCCGCCGCGGCTGCTGCCCGGGGCTGCCGGTGCCGGTGTCGGTGTTGGCGGTGCCGGTGCCGGCGGCGGGGCTGGCCGCCAGCCTCCCGTGACGCTGCCCGGTGCGCAGCGGGGGAGCCGCGGCAGGGCGCACGCTGCCCTCTGCAGGCAGCCGGCCCGGGGGGGCCACGGCTCCCGCTCGCACCGGGGCCCGGCTGGCGGCACTGCCCGCTCCCCTTTCCCAGCCGCGTTCCGCTGCCCGCCCCGGAGTCACGGAGCGGCGGCGGGGTGGGTGTGTATGTGTGTGTATGTGTGTATGTGTGTGTGCCGTTAACCGGGGGGAGCGGGGCACGGAGCCTCCCCGCCGCATGAGGGCGCTGCAGGCCCCGCCGGGCGGAAGCGCGTCAGGGCGGGCGTTGCCATGGAGGAGCTGAGCGCGGCGCTGGCGGCCGGCGTGTCCCTGGCAGCGCCCAACAGCCCCGCGGGCCCGCACCCGCGCCTGGCCGCCTACAAGCCCCGCGGAGGCCCGGGGCAGGAAGAGCGGCGGCAGCGGCTCCTGCGCCTGCAGCGGCAGTGAGTGCTGTCCGCTTCCCGTTCCCCTTCGCTTCGCGTCCCGCCGGGCCGCGGTGCCTCCCGCAGGGGACGACCCGCGCTGTTTGTTCCCCGTCAGGAGGCGGCTGGACTACGTGAACCATGCGAGGAGGCTGGCGGAGGATGACTGGGCAGGGATGGAGAGCGAGGGTGAGGAAGGGGAGGATGCGGAGGAAGAGGAGATGGATGTGGATGCTGGCAAGAGGCTGCCCAAGCGCTATGCCAACCAGGTGAGGAGCTGCTCAGGGCCTGGCTGCGCTGGGGCTGGGAAGGATGGGTCCTGCCTGTGTGGTGCTCGGAAAGGAGCTGCGCCTCAGCTCTGTCTCTGAGACGTGCCGTGTTTAAGTGGAGGATGGATGGAGATGGGCTGCCTGTGCGCTTAGGGAGATTCTAGCTGGAGTTTGTTATGTGTCACTTGGTTCAAGAGTTCTGCCTCTCCCCATGTCTGGGACACTGGGAAGGGAAACCTCGGTGGATGGGTTTTATCAGCCTGGGTGCCATACTGGTCCTAAAAGACTGACAGTGTCCCCGGTAACCATGGCGAGGCCATCCCTGAGGAGCTCACCTTGTCTGGGCTTGTTACTCCTCATGTTCAGGAGTCTCTAAGCCTTACCATGTATTTGAAAGTAAATCAAGTGCTGGAGGGAAGCTGGAGTGGGGACCAAGATAAGGAGTGCCCAAGCAAGGACACTGTTGTAGTGTGAAGCTTTTGTGAGCAGCTGGGAAGCAAAAGCAAAGCTTGGGGGGAGTCTGTCGTGCAGGTTGGTTAGAGGGAGGGAAGGAGTCAGCCTCCTACCACAGGGTGATGAGCAGCACAAGTTGCCTGCGGCATGCTCAGTGTAGCTGCTGAAGCCAAGTCAAAACCTTGTTCCTTTCTGCTTGAGCTAGGAGTTTTCCACAGCTTCAGGACAGTTGTTACTCACTGTTGTTTGCTCCTGGATTTCTCCACAGCTGATGCTGTCAGAGTGGCTGGTGGATGTCCCTGTGGATTTGGAGCAGGAGTGGGTTGTAGTCGTGTGTCCCGTTGGGAAAAGGGCGCTGGTTGTGGCATCCAGGGTAAGCAGCAGCCATGGTAATGCCGGTAAAGCACCTGTACCTGTTTCCCAGCCAGCATAAGACTGGCCTGTGTGTTTGGCTTGACTTAATCTTTCTCCTCTCTTGCTTCCTCACAGGGCTCGACAGCAGCTTACACCAAGAGCGGCTTCTGTGTGAACAGGTTCCCATCCCTGCTGCCAGGGGGGAACCGGCACAGTTCCATGGGAGAGAAAGGTAACGGTGTGAGGAGGCATTTGGGATAGAGAGAGTTCCCTGTCTCTCCCTGTGTGTGTGTGGCAGGCTCAGTGCTGCTGCTCCAGCTTCCCCGAGCTGTGCCTTTGTGTGCTCCTTACAGCTTGAGGGCTCTTCCTGTGCCTCTGGGGATAACTAAGCGTGGACAGTATCCAATACCCTTATGCTAGATAAGAACAGCTTCTAATTAGCTGCCTGCTTTACTGCTACTCTTAAACCTCAACATCCTCTCTGTCTTCCCAAAGAGAGCTGTGTGCACTGTGCTTTATTTAATACCTTTTGTAGCTTCTTGCTTGCCCTGAGGATGGTTTACTCTTTGATGCCATTTGCTTGGAGCACGCCTTTGCTTGCTGTGCCCCTGGCTGGTACCTCTGTAGCCTTGTTGGATTCCTCAACCTAAAGGCTTTTTGTGGTCACAGCATGTGTTAGCAGAAGGGGATCCCTCTGCACCTCACAGCCTTACATCAGGGTAGGCTTAATGCTATTTGCTCTGGCATTTGCCTGTTGGGTTGGGCAGTCCCTGGAGCATGTCTGGACCTCTCTGTGTTTGTGCACGCAGTGTACTGCATCTTGGACTGCATCTACAACGAAGCAAAGCAGACTTACTATATCCTCGATGTGATGTGCTGGAGAGGACACCCTGTTTATGACTGCCAGGTACTGAATCCCCCTCCTCTGCCCTGCCCTCCTTCTTGTTCCCTGTTCCACAAGCTGCTTTGCAGCCAGTGCTGAACATTGTCCACTACACCCTAGGATGAGTATTTTATCTAAGCACCACCATCATCTTTACTGATGTTGTGCTGGCTACTGGAATAGTGGGTGTCTCTTTCGTGGGTAATGGGGGACACAGCAGATTTGGGGTGCTGGCTGGTTCTGCAGTGAAGCTGAGTCTGTGCAGAGGGATGGAGATGCTCGGCAGGGTCTCATCGGTGATGTGTACTGGATAGTTATTATGTCTGCTTCCTTTCACAGACTGACTTCAGATTTTTCTGGCTTTCCTCAAAGATCCAAGAGGAGGAAGGGCTGGGAGAGAAAAGCAGGATTAATCCCGTAAGCTCTTTTGTACTCAGGGGTGGAGGAAGGGGGGGGGGGGGGGGTAAGCTCTCCTGTTCAGCAGGCTTCAGCGCTTTCTTTCAGAAGCGGAAGCTGCTTTTGTTTGCCCCTTATAGATCAGGCTTCAAAGTGTACTTCTGATGAAATGGGATGCCACGTTCAGGATGTAAATAGAACCACTGAGTATTGTAAATGAGCGTGGTTTTATGTTCCTCAGCCAAAGTGCTGAAGGAGATCAGAAAGCAGGGTATCAGCTAACTTCCACGCTGCTTTTAGCCTTCCCTTGAAATGCAATGGAAAACCAGTGTGGTTTCTACAGGGGCAGTGTTGGTCGGCAGCCTGGCTGCGATGGGATTTATTCTTGCATAGTCTTGTGAGCTCGCAAGGCAAGGGGAAAGGCTTGTAAAGCTTTAACCTTCCCTCCTGTTTAAGCTCACTGCTGAAGGTGTCGTTTAGATGCTAGATTGTCACCTGGAGTCCCACTGAGCAAGAATAAAGTCTTCCATTGAAGACTTAAACATGGACATCAGACCTAGAGCCCACAGCAGCTTGGAAAGGGATTTTTGAGGACAGACAGAAGAGATTTGGCAGCCTGGTTTATGGGACATGGTTTGCAGAGTGTGGGACCTGATGGCTCTGCAGCCCCTGTGCATGCTCAGCCACAGCGCAGCAGAGCAGCTCCTGGGGGCTGGGCAGATGGTGGGAAATGGGTATGGCTGCTCCTGTGCCAGCAGCGATGGTATCTGTATGTGGAGAACATCCTGTTCTGACTCCGATGGGAATATCCACAAGACAGCTACCTAATGAAGGGGGGTTGTTTCAGCTTTCATTTCCTGGGTGGAAAGAGTTGCTTGGCTGAGGCAGCAGCCTGGAGCAGACGTCTGTCTGCTTTGCATCCTGCCCAGAGGTCATCATTTTCTATTTCGGTTAGAAGAGCATCTCAGGGGCAGCTCTCCTGAGAAGTCCTTCCTGCAGTCTTAAAATGCTTGGATAAAAAAAGGTATGGGAGCATGTGGGAGCTGTGCCCTGAGGCTTTGCCATCCACATCTCATTAAATGCCAGAGAGGGAGTCGTGGAACCGGGATGGTAAAATACCTGAAATAAGTCATTCTGGGCACTGTAGATTTCATGCTCTATGGGCATTGTGGGTCTTCTTTTAAAGGTCACCTTCTGTTTTTGGGAATGAGGTTTGTGAAATTGCAGTCAGGTACAAGCTTTATCCATGACTGATGGAGAGATGGTGGGGGTTACTGCCAACAGCCATTCCACCCCATGCTCTCTGGTGGCAAGGGTGATTTCTGTAGGTGTTCAAGCACTCCCGGTCTGTCCAGTGGGCTATGCTTGGCACCAAAGCACAGCTTGGTCCTGTTGTTTTGCCTCTAGATCTGGGGTTTGCTGTTCTGAATCCCATCAAGAGGTCTGTCTGTCCCAATAACCCCGAGTAATCACAAAGACCGGTTGCTGAGGGAAGAGTAAGATATTGGAGATACCCATCATGTTTCCCTCCAACTTCATCAGCCAGTGGTTATACCTAGATCATGGAGTTAATGGCCACCAGTGGACCTGCCTTTCAGGAGCTGGTCTGATCCTTTTTCAAGCTTACTTATGCTGTTAGGCCCCTGATACCCTGTGACAGGAAAGCCAGAGTTTAATGATGTGGTCCCTGCTTGAGGTCTCCTCTCCAGTTACTTTCCTTCACTCTCTCCCTCTCACACTAGAGCAAATCCTTCTTCCCTGTCCACCTCCACGTTGGTGCTGGATTCAGTGACCTGTTCTGCTTTAGGCCTTGCACTTGTCTCTCTTTTAACCCTCTTTTACTCTTTCAGTTCAGATTTGTGGGCCTGCAGAACTTCTCCTGCTCCGCGGACAGCCTGTGTAAGGTGCTGGCTATGGACTTCCCCTTCGAGGTGAGAACATA